ATTCCAGCTGTAAGGGTAAAACCCAGAGGGCATGAGCCTCAGGCATGACAAAAATGAGGAGGGGAAAATGAGGCTTCCTGTCTCCCCTGCAAAAGCCAGAGAGACACATTTTACTCAGGACTTAGGCTAAATTGTTAATGATTTATACATTAATTAAGTAATGTTTATAGAATGGCTTATATATATAAATGGCTGCAAAGATGCTTACGTTTTTCCTGCACTCTCCAATTAAACCAACTTTCATTACAGAGCAAAACAATTCCATCCCAACTTGTTACACCAGTTGTTTAGCCAGGCAGCTTTGCAGCCACTGCTCCCAGCTCAAACTGGGCTATTGTGTTTCTCTGAGGAAACTTCTGTGCTGGTTTGTAATTGTTTTAATTCCATCACAGATCACATTCTGTTTAATGATAATTTGATTTTGCATTGCAAGACCCAGATGTACATTAGGAGGTCACAACCTTTCCATTTATCTCGTAAAGTAACTATTTTTTCCCTGAGTTCCATCAGGTTAAAACAGTTAGCAATTTTTCTCCTTGAAGTGTCCCTTCAGCTTGGCCAAGATATATAATAGATCAGTGTAGCTACAAATGCATTACAACATTAGTCATCAATTAGTTTTAAACCATCGCTGTAATATATCATTTATCCAGCTTGCTGTAGCAATATTGTGAACATTTAATTTTTTAAAGGCATCTTGATTTTTTAACCTGACGGCTGCATCCCCCTTTTGTCTCCTGTACAGACATCTCCTTAAGGAACAATAAAAATTAGATTTGTTTGACCTGCACTCAGGGTTCGTTTAAGCGAGATGGATTTTAATTGCTCTGCCCAGCCTACCAGACAGCTTTTATGTAATATCCCAGACATTTACGCACTGTCTTTTCCCTTGCTGTAAGCAGGTGTGTGTGCCCACAAATGCCTGTAAAGCAGCTCTTACAATTCATTTCACATCTCTGACAATCCTCTGGGAGATTGCTTTCTCTGAGATACTGGTTGGCATCAAATTAAGGCCTCCGGTCCTCGCCACTTCTTCCCTCCTAACAGCATTTCCTTTTGTCTTTAAGATTCACCTTCTTGTGTGGCTAATTCTAAAAGGACCTCGTTGAGGATTGTGTTGTTTGGGTTTGTGTTGTCATTTTATGGCACAGGTGACTCACCCCTGCATCTCTCTGTGGTGAGAATGGCTACAGGGCTTTACCTGTCTCTCCCCAAATCCCTGATGTCCTTGCAATAAGATCTACAATTGGAAGAGGTTGGGAGTATAAGAGAGCTCAGACTGGGAGCAGCAAGTACCTTTGAGGATCTCTAACTTCAATTAGGAAGTCAAGAGAGGAAGTTATCACTGACTCAGAGCCTGGAACACCCCAGCTGCTCTGCCAGCTCCAAGTGGAGGCACAATGAGCTCACATTTGCCCACGATGAACCTTATTTGCTCCAGCTGCCCCATCAGGGAGAGGAGAACCTCATGTAGAGCATTCTCTCTCTGCTATCTCTCCCCTTCCATGGGTGATACAATCTGAATATGAGGTCCTCTGTTTTTCCTCTTCTCCCCATTCCTAAAAAGGAAGATTTGGCTGTCCCATGAGTTACCAAATCAGCACAAAAAAATGGGCCTCCTAAGCAGTTCTTTGTGCCTACAGCTGGTTCTGGTCTCCTCTCTGTTGGACACACACATGTACTTAATTCCCAGTTGTGCTGGATGCCTATTAAAAGAACAAATCTGCAAGTGAGGAGGGTCTCTTCTGCCATGTCAGTAGAAGTGAGATATGTAAATCTCCTGTGTGCTGAGGCGAATGAATGCTCAAAGTGCTTGGGAGAACAGCTGGGAAAGAGAATAAGCAGTTTTTATTCTGCTGTGAAGTGTCACTGATCCAACTCTCTAAGCTGATCCTCATGTGGCTCATTGTGCCTGCTCCATGATTCTGCCCACTGCTTCCAGGGGGGTAATTCAGAGTGCTCAGCACTTCAGTCAGCACGGGAGAAGGCACAGACCTGTTTCTCCCACAGTGCTACAGCCAGCATGGTGCAAGGGAGCACTGGGGGGGAAAGGACAATTCCAGAATTCCAGTCAGGGGCCCTGTGAGGGAGTGCACATGCAGATCATGGTGAGCCACAGAGAAAGCAGTGGAGGAGATGGGAGATCTGCCTGTCTTGTCAGCTGGGGAAACCTGAAGAGGGTTTGGAATAATCTTCATCCGTGCCACTGCATTTCTCTCTTTTTATCTTCCTGTGGTAAATCCCAGTCCCTCAGGAAAGATCCTGGAGTGAGACTGGTACATGATGATGGGGCAATCACAAAACATTTAAAGATAATGAAGGGTGCTGTAGGAGACTGTGGAAGGAAATCCTGTTTTCTTTTCTTGAAACTGAGCAGAATTGCACATTTGACGAAGTACCTACACAGCTCAAGGAATTCACCTTCCACCTGCCCTGCCTGGGCCAGCACTCCAGTGCCACCATAAACACACGGGTGGCTTCCCTCTGGATGAGAGAGAGGAGCAGCAGAACATGGTCAGTGTTAACTGTGGCATCAGTGGAAGAAATTCAGATGAGACATTCACTGAGAAGAGCCTTAGAAGACACTTTATGCAGAATTTGTGAATACAGCAGTGGCATCAGGAAAAGGGATGGGAGATCTAGCACACTTACTTTGCATGTGGATAGATAATTCTTAATTTCATATTCTGTGTTTTTTTCCTCTGGGGCTTTTATATCCATCAGTAAGCCACACCAGTATTTTTTACTTCCCTGACAGAAGCACTGAAAATCAGAACCCATTTATTTATTACCAAACAAATGCAGAAATAAGAGCAGGCTGTAGCACTAGAATACACATTTGTAACCCTCTGAGGACCAGATACGCAGAGCTAGAACACTCAGCAGCTGTAATGTGTACTGAGAAGTCACATTTGTTCAAGAAAAGCCACATTACTTATATTAATTGGATGTGTCCAGCTCATCCTGAGTCCACTTAAGCCTTGGCAAACCTCTAGCTCTGAGCATAACAAAGGTATTAATACTGATATTCCTTTATATTATTCCAGTTACATAACGACTCCCACCTTTGCAGGCTAATACTTATTCTTTGGAACACAGAGAACTATTGACTCATATCTGGACTGGGTTGCCAAAACCTCCTAAATTTAGAGATGCTTGGAACAAGAAAGGGAGTTTGGTTCAGGCCCATCCACAACAGCAAATTAAACACAAGTCATCATCTGTGAGAGTGACATTTTCGGCATGTCCAGAGCCTGGCGGGAGCTGACATTCCTTCTCCCAGAAAGATTTACAGAATTTGTGCATTGAAAAGCATTGAGGTAAACCCTGGTCTGAGGGCCAAGTGCATAAATTAGACCTGTCCCCTCCCTTCAGTAAATTACAGACGTACAGGCCATCGGTTGGCTCGCTGTGCTCTTGGCAACTCCATCAACTCTGCGAGTGTGTGTTCACAGAAAGGGACTTTGTGTCGTACTCACACATTTACATTTCATTTTTGGAGATTTTGGTGCAAGGACTATGTTGTACATCATGTCTTCCCTCCATTCACATCAGAGACTGGATTAAACAGACTGAGAAAAAAGAGTAATATTAAAATGTTGGCACACACTGCACTTTCTCAGCAGAAACCGTGTCGCCTGCACATCACTTTGGTTTAAATTATGTAGGTCAGTGTTAGGTCAGCAAGAAGTGCTGGATTAGCATCTGCATAGACTGAGATCCTCTCCTCATTCACAGAACAAGTCCAGATCAAGAAACTGCATTATAGCTTCATGCACAAAGCTACTTTAGAGGACAGGATATTTCCTCAGGCCGGCCAAGTGCTCACCTGTTCCTCCAGCCCGTGGTTTATCTGGAAACCAAACTGGCCAGTTGGCAGAGTGACGAGGGTCTGACACTACCAAACTGCTTCTTCAAACACTGTCAAGGTTTTTATGAGCTGCATGTTTGCAGAAGTCCATGTACCTGTGAAATAACTGAATCACTGTCTTCCATGTGTCAAAATGATGCCATTTCTAGGCTGTTCCATCTTCCTCCCACAGACCTACCACGTTTTAGGTGGAATGAATGGCCTGAAAACCCAAATACGAGTGGCAGCTCAGACTGGCTCTAGAAAAGGGACACGGTGAATGGCACTGGGAACCCCACACAACATCCCAAAGAGATGCAGTTCACTCCAGGCTTTCAGCCTCCCAAACTGGATTATCTGTGTGAAGGTTTTCTCAATGACCTGAAGAACCAGTAGAACCTTTCATTGAAGGCTGAAAGCCTCATGTAATCAAAGAACATGAGAATTAAGGTTTCTAAAAACATAAACCAGTATTTTGAGCATACTGCAGGAACTGCTGCTACAAAGTTATGCAAATTCCAGATCTTCTGTTTCTATAAATAAGAATTTTTCAGGGGAGAACATAGACAGGAGACAATCGTGCTCTACCCTGAACAGGGATAGGGAAATTCAGGCTCTAGTCCAGCTCCACTCAGACATTTCGGCTCACTGGCTTCCATTTTCCATGGTGAGACTCAAACAATGGTAATAAAAATTGCAATGAAAGCAATTGAAAAATATTTGCATAATTATTTAGCGTGTGTTTGCATGCTTTGCATGTTAAACAAGGGATTGTTCCTCATCCCACACTCTCAGGACAGATAGGGAAGTAGAAAGTGTGGAGCTGAGTGGGAGCAAAACCTGATGTGTGCAGAAGTAAATTCTGTTCTGTAGAAAAACAAGCTGAAATGTGTATTTAAGGGAGACTAAATATTGAAAGATTCACAGCCTGGTGGAAAAAATCAGGGAGTTCACTTAGGGAACAAAGGTTGTGACACAGAAGGCAGGATGGAAATAATTGTGGAAGCAGCTGATGAATGGTGGGCCAGGCTGGAAATACTGGTAGAGCTGAAATTGTGACGGGTGAACAAAGAATGATGATGATTGATGATGATGATGATGATGATGATGATGATGATGATGATGATGATGATGATGAATCCCTTTTCAGTTTGCAGAGTGATGGAACATGAGTCCTGCTGACTCAGGGTGAAACCCAGACTGGGAGATTCTGCTGCTGCAGGGCAAGGGCCACCTCGGAATCCTCGGTTATCTGGGATCCCAGCAACTTCCAAAGCACTGCTGAAGCCAAGCACCTGCCTGGGGAAGACATTGCTCCACAAGCCTTTGATGTGGCACATTTAAGCAGCAGGTTCAACCAGTAATTCATTGAACAAAGCATTCAAGGCAATGGGACAAACCCATGTGGGAATTAGCCTGAGTCACACTGTGCAGGAGTGGCACCCCTAAGCTGAGCCTGAACCCATCCCAGAGCTCTTCCCTTTTCATCCATTCAGGCTCTGCCACAGATCAAATTCTCCATCTGAAATACCAAGGTCCCCCTCATCTGGTATAATTTTACCTTGATTTTCAGACACCACTTTATGTGGATAGGCCAGACGAGGTTTCCTGAACACTCACTCAGGGAGAAGGAAATATCAGCAGAAATTAATGGAGAGATGTCAGAGATGTCACCTTGGGAGATTTAATTTACTGTGTCCCTTCAGTGCTTTGCCAACTTTCAGCTGAGGTTGGTTGTATGATTTGGTAAACTAAACTGGGGAAAGGCTGATTGGAGAACAAATAATGGAGCTGGGGGTTCCATGCTCCAGGAAGTAAAATGATAATCTCCTATCAAAAGACAAATATGTTAATCTCTGGCAGTAAAATTCATAAGAGCATCATGAGATATAAATTGAAAAAGAAAAAGACAAAGACATAAAGAAAAACAGAGTAATCCAGCCATGGGAGAACAGCAAGAAAAGCAGCTGGTTCAGATATTCATATTGACAAAACTCTGGCTGGATATCAAATATATCCCTTCCCACCCCAAATTCCTGTGGGCTTCAAGGAAGCACAAACATCCCTTATCATTCTACATCATTAATTGCCAGTCCTACTCTGTCCAAGTACCAGAGCATTGACCTCTGAATGCAGATACAAGTGGTCCTGCTCACCCCTTACCCCACGGTTCAGTCCTGTGGGTTCATGTGGGGAGAAGCCTGAGTTGCCATATGGAACATCAGTCCAAGGAAAGTCTTTTTATCTTACATAGAAGGCCATTCACCATCTCCCACTGGTGTCTGCCATAAAAGCAAGACAAAGTGAGGTTGTTTCAGCACTGTCTGGTCTCAGGGAACGTGGATGGATGTCCATCCAGTTTTACTGCAGTCTGGAATAGAATTTCTTCATGCAAGGAGCACATTTAGCTGTCTGCAAATTCCAGAGGTGTTTTCAGTAGAAGTGCAAGGTTGTGCTACCAAAGGAGAACATGAGCCAAAGATGTTCTATTATCCATATCCTATTAAAGGTCAGCCAGAGCTCTTACCTCAGTGCTATAATGTGACCAGAAACTTAATTGAAAATATACAAAAAGGTTATTAACGAAGAGATGAAACCGTAGTAAATTTAATATAGCCCACAGAAGGACTCTTGCTAGAATGAGAAGGTTACGTAGCTAGATAGATAGGCCTTTAATTAAGGTGTATTGCTGGGTTAAGTGTAAATTTTCCAAGCAAAAATGAAGATAGAAAACTGGTAATTGCTTCCAATTTATATTATAAAAATCAGTCATATTCATTTTAGTTCCTAGACAGCCTTACTTAATTCTAAGCCTCAATCACTTAATTGGAAGGGAGAAATCTTTGAGTAAAAACATAAGGAATTGAGGAAAGAGACAGTCAGATTGCAAGAACTGAATGAACAGCACTTTAAATGAAATCATTAAACCCCCTCGTCCAAGATTTCATATTTGCTCTCCTCAAGGGATATTTATTATCAAAGCTGAGTAGGAAAAGATTGGGAATTATATCAGAAAAAAAATCTATAATGGTTTCTTGAAAATTGAATCTGAAGAACTCCCTCTTTCTATTACTGTCATAATTTCTCCATGTCTCAAAGTTAGTGTAGAGTAGAAACTCAGATATTTCTCTCACTGACACCTCTTGCAACTCTGGTGTCACACATAACACAAAGGTTCACAACGGTGCACAGAAACTACATTTACCTCAACCAAATTCTCATTTTGTTTACAACAGACTTGCAGGGGGGAGTACATTCAAGGAGGGCTTTGTTGTGAGTGTTCACACAACTCTCCTTGCATCAATCAGCCTCAGGAAAAAAAAAAAAAAGCCTTTCCTGAAGGGTGAGTCTTTGTGGGTTTGGGAGCCAACCAACGATGATTAGGAAACAATCCGTGGTGGCTGAGGTGGCAGATAAGAAGTAGAGATGTGAAGAGCTGACATTTAAAAGTAATAGTCCTGGAGAATACCGGTGATTCACAAAAGCAGATATCAGAATCAGTTGATGACTACTGTTGAATAATAAGCCTACATCCATTCAAAGATGAAAAAAAAAAATTTTTGCCCTAATGAATATTGACTTATGAGAGGGGTTTAGCTCTGCAGGGTGAATATTCACAGAGCTTCATGACTTATAACTGCTCTCTCTCCTTCCCCTGACAAAGCCCAACACAGGATGGGCTCTGGATGTAAATTCTCCACTTTCTCTGTTCCTGGACAGGAGATAAAATTCTGTAATTAGAATCAGCCAAGGTGCACAGAATTTTAGTCCCTCCATGCATAAATGAAAACCAGTGCATCGGGAATGCATTTGTGGTGCGGGCAGTGGGTTCTGCCTCAGGCAAATGCATCAGCAGCACCATTCCCAAGTCTTTTTGGGATCCATTTAAGCAACCACTTGAAGAGGATCCATAGCAGCAAGCGGGGAAAGCTGAGGCAAAGGTACTAAATCTCTCCCTATCAGAAGTCAAATGATGTTAGAGAAGTTACTCAATGGATGGTTTTGGTCTGCTTCTCTGGTTTCTGGAGGGAAGTGACAAGGGACACTGCTCCATCAATTGAAATAAGGTTAAAACATCCAGATGCCAGTCGTTCAGAAATATAAAATTATCATGCTGCAAAAGTAATTAACACTTGCAGTTTTCAAAGGGCTGAGGAAGCTTTAACTAACTAAACAGTAAGGTTAGAGTAATTGAAACTCAGATGTTAGGTTGCTAAGGGGAACAGAATAATAGACTGAATTAATTATCCTAGAGAATTCAAGATTAAAACACCAAAACATTCCTATGTTTACGTGAAAGGAACGAGCTCTCAGTATGTCAAGAGCACTGAAGGTAGCAACAATAAATTTTTATCTGTCAGCAGGAAGGGAAGATAGAGCTCCAGAACGCCCAGGGAGGATTAGGGAGAACAGTAGACAATTGACAGTGAAACACAGACAAAGCTGGGAACATAACCATAAAGTGCTTGAGGAAATCCTTAAATCCGCTGGTATTAAAGCATTTACAGGGACTTTTCAATTTCATGGCAGCCTCACTATCAGAGAGTTCTGTCATTTCTGACAGTGGAAGCAGGCTCAGGTCTTCAAGTCAAAAAAGCTTTAGTGAGGTTTGAAGTTATTCCATGAAACAATTTCAGAAGATTTCCCAAGATACAGCCAATAGCTACCAGTGAGCCTTAGCTTGGAATACAGAAACAAGTTTAAAAAAGGTAGGACAGAGGATGAAACAGAAGCATTTCAGCTGCTGGGGAGGGAGCACACACTGTCAAGGTTCAGTGGTGCCTTATCTTAACAGCAAAGCATTCCCCAGCCTTTGCTTCTGCCTCTGAGCTACTTTTGCTAAAATTTATAATTACACCGAGAACTGGATCATTGAAATAACCCAAGTAAAAAAATAAAACAATAAAAACCAGGGGGTTGTCTGTTTTCCTTAGCCCAGATTATGTCCATGATTTAATTGAAAGCACAGATCCACACACAGCTGGACTGGCACCAAGAGGAACCAGGAACCTTCAGCACAAGGGCAGAAATGAACTTCCAAGAGTAGAAGAATTTTTTTATAATGGCTTCAATGCTTTGCTTTTGTTTTCAGTAGACATAAAATAATCTGCCTTCAGGAAAAGGGAAGTGAGATAACTTCCATTTTCCAAAGGGAAAATGAGTATCCAGGCAGTCACCATGAACCTGCTGAAATGTTGGGAGTTGCCAGCCCACCTTCCCCTTCTCACTGAGACACACAGAGCAAGCACATCACTTTGGCACTAAAAACCAGTTCTGATGAACATTTATTAAGAAACAAGTCCTAAAAAGAACTTTTCTGATATCTGAACAGACTAAGATGTGAATACCCAGAAAAAACTGAAGAAATATAATGGAAACTCCCTTTGCTGTCAGTAAGAACAGGGTCTCTATATGCATAAGAAGGGAAAGGGGTTATTTCAGGGAAAAAAATATCCATGGATCTAACCCAGAGGGGAAGACCCAGCCATTCTTAACTGGAAGTATCCCCAGTCCCACCCTGTACCAGTTCCTCCAAGAAACTCAGAGTTGTTGCTATTACACCACAGCTCTGTCGTGCAGTGCTTGTGAGTGGACACAGCACGTGTAGAGAAATGCAGCTGTTCACATGAACTCCTTGCTGCATTTCCTGCACATGAGACCTCTCTGACTTGATCCTTTTGCCTGCTTGTCTGCTCTGACATAACCACAAGGCTGTGGATCCCAAAGCTCAGCCAGGCCCAGGAGTTACTGCCCACCCAGCTGGTCCAGGCACCATTTCTCAGCATCCCTCACTCATCTCCTCTCCTGCCACCTCTGCATCTTTGTGCTTTTTCATTTGGATCTTTCATTTTTAAAGCTCTACTTCTTCCCATGTGCAGTCTTCACCAGCACGGTGGCACCTTCCCTGTCACTTCTGGAAGGCAGGAGTGATTTGCACAATCACTCCTGTGCTAAGAGGTAACACCATGGAAGTGGTCTGAGCTCTCATGGACAGTGCACAGAGCAGGAGAGCAGAAACCTGAGCTCATCCTGCCCCTGACACCCAGCTCAGCCTCAGGCCAGTTCCACAGCCTGATCCCAGCCCTGCTGAAGTCATCACAAAGGGCTGCTGGATGTAACAGCACAGGATGAGCTCCTGCATCTCTGCTCTGCTGTTGGCTCAAGGTGTCTCTAGGGTGAAAACGTGTGAAGTGTTTTCAAAGATTAAAAGTACTACAGTTGTCATCCCACAGTTCTTATTCATCCCTGATAATTTCTGCCTGTGGGAGTAGGCCCGTTGGCTCCATAGTCGTCATTATTTGTAACATTTCTTGTATTATTCACAATACATCTCCTTCTCTGACATACTTTTATTAATTTTAGAAGTGGAACATTTTTAGCAGCAACCTTTACATATTCAACAGATGCATGATATAATTAACCAAGAAATGTCGTAAGAAACACAAAGAAAATATTCTTCTCATTATATTCAATATTTAATTGCTCACAGTTATTCTCAAATCAAATCTGCTGCTCAGAGAGAGTTGTCACAGATCACTTATGTTGTTTCATGGGGTTTTTTTTTAGTGAGGCTAAGAGCTCATTTTCTTAGTTTTAGACTTTTAATCTATCATAATGAAAAAGGAAAATCACACTCTAGGTAAGGTTGTGGCATTAGTGCTTTACCTCCAATTTTGCAAATACCCTGTAGGGATTTTTTTTACTGCATCAAACAAAGGTTTGCAAGTCTTGTCCCATATTGAATCTACTTGATGGAAATTTCAGCAGCCCCATAATGAAGCCAGGGTTTACATCCTCAAAGAAAAGTAAAGTAGGTCTAGAACAGATAAGGGTTTGTGCAAATTTGCCAAAGTTTAATTTTCTGACTGAGTGGCCCAATTTTTTCCCGTTCATTCTCCTAAAAGTTGGAATTGCTCATTCTCTCTTCTGCCATCCATTCTGTGCTGTTATTACTAAAGAATGAACAAAACATTTTTTCCCCTAGGAAAGACACTTACAGGATAGGGATTCCCAAGGTGGTCTGTAGAGTAGCTGTCTCCCTTTTTCTATTCCAAAAGGAGTGGTAATGAGCCAAAAATCTGCTACAAATGCCACCTATAAAGAGAAAAAAAGTTGCTAAGACATTCTGAGTATATGGGCAGACTGGAACAAGGTTAAGTGAACCATTGCTGGCAGCCAGAATCATGGAATTTGTGATCCTATGGACGTGTGGTCCTTGGAACATAGCACATGGAATCAGTGTTAGCTTTATCTTACCTAACTTCAACTGTCTAACATCAATAAACTGCCCTCTCCAGATTCTCTACATGTTTTGCTGAGTATTAGGAAGTGGTATTAGGAAGCAACTTCAAAGGACAGCTCATTCCAGCCCAGCAGAACAAAGTGAGGCGGGATGAGTCAGCTCTGGTGCTTGTCCCCTCTGCCAACAGCTCAGGACTTGGGTGCCTTGTTGAGGCTGAATGCTTAACTTCACATGGCTGGAGCTGGGTGAAGTGAACCACACTCAGATTTGTATTCAACATCAAATCCTGCTGCTTCCCACAACCTGAATTATTTTAGTCATCAGGTGCCTTACTCGCTGCATTTTGCTATTTTGTTCAAGGAGCATTTATGGAATAAAAAGCCTTTCCTAGAAATGAAAAGGAGAATTCTCCTTGCGTTTCTAACTTTGTTTCTGGTAGTGCTCCCTGCAGGAGGGGGAGGTGTGGGTGTGTGGGCTCTGTGTGTGTAAGAGATGCCAGTGATGCAGCAGCCAGGGAGGAGGAGATAGTTCCAAGAGCTTCCTGGCAAGCAGTTGGTCATCCAGGCATCAGGAGAGCACAGAAAAGGGATGACTTGGCAGCCAGAGCTGCCAGAGCTGATTCTGGTTGGTGCACTGGAATCAGCACTTTCTACAATGGAAGCAGATTTCCCAATCCTAGGGAATCTCAGCAGCTGCTGGGGGTGTCTGATTCCCTCACAGACGACTCCATGATCTGTTTAAAATCTCCATGTTGGATTTTAAAGATGCAGGTAATGGATATCCTGGTGACTCAATGTGAGTCAGTCCAATTAAGAACTGAATCAGGCTCTCCAAATATTCCCATGCAGCTCTTTCTCTGAAGACTTCAAAGTGAATTACAGAGATTCAAAGTGCTAACAAGGATAATCCAGTGATGATATCAATGCTGGCATGACACAGTGCCCATGTGACCAGGGACAAGTCCATTTAGAGACATACTTACTGCACATACTTAGCAGCCACACAGAGATTTGGACTGGAATATAATTAAGATTGCATCTTGACAATCTTCTCTGTGGAATTCTGTAAACTGGTTGTAAAATTTGATAGAAAAAGCATTCCACTAACTATGGTACTCAGGGGGCTTTCCTACAATAAATACCTGTCCTGCTCCATTCTGGAACATAAACTGGGGTTTACTGCTCAGCCAGATCTGTTGTTTGAACCATAAGGCCGCTGTTCACAGCTTTCACAGAGGTTGTGTCTATACTGCAAATCCAGAAGGAGAAGTGCACAGTTCAATCCATGATCTCCCAGGCTGTGTTAGAACTGTGTGTCACTATTAGAACCCTTCCTGACATGGCACTGGCCTGTCCCAGCTCTCCCAGATGATGCCTTGGAATACATCAAAGTCCAAGGACTGTTCCCTGTAGACTGTCTGGGTGAGGCCACCTGCTTGGGATGCAGGAATGGGGGGAAAGAGCTGAATCATGTGGATGTGAGTCACGATACATTACTGTGCATTTGGGTTATTTTATTTTCTGGCCATAGCCAGAGAGACCAGGGAATAAACGGCCACCCTTCTTCCTGAGGCACTGAACCACTCTTCCTGAACAAGCTGCTCCCTGAAAAAAGTCCTTTGGTGGGGGTGTGCAAAGAGAAAGCTGCTGGCTTTGGGCAGGGTTTGTCCCTTGCTGTGGCTGAGCTGGGGACGGCCGTCTCCCGGGCTGCCTTCCAGCTGGATCCAGCACCAACTCATTCACTGCAAAAAGCAGAAAAAGAAACAGGAAAAAATGATATGAGGTTTCCATGGCTACTGGACTGTTTACTTTCTTCCGACTGTTATCACAAATTTTGCCATCCAAACAAGCAACAGATGTCAGAAATAACGTTTGGGTTTAGTGAGGGTTCATTTTGGATATGCCATGGGGAAAGGTACTGACCTGGAGCCCAAGAAGTGGCACAAGCTCATCAGTGGGCAAAACATAAAGAAAGTACAGACATCCAGATTCTAAACACTGGGCTTGGAGCTCTTCCTCAGTGCTGTTTCCCAATTGCATTGAATTTCTAGATTTCATGTTTGTGGTTTTGTTTTTTGTTTTGGGTTTTTTTTTTTTGTTTGTTTTTTTTTGTGATGGTTGTTGAAAGTAAAAGGTCAAGAGTAACCTCACATCTGCTTTTCTGGAGAAATGGCAAAAACTTTGATTTTAATTTTGGGTTTTTTTTTTTTTTTTGTTTTTTTTTGTGATGGTTGTTGAAAGTAAAAGGTCAAGAGTAACCTCACATCTGCTTTTCTGGAGAAATGGCAAAAACTTTGATTTTAATATTTTAGAACAATGAAGAAAGAGCAGAAATCAAAGCCGTGTAATCAGTTCCTGTCATCATTGATGCTGGAGTGCAGAACAGGTTATCCTGTATTAATTTATGATGTATTCCAGAACAACAGGTGGAAGTACAAGTAATGCCTCTCCTGTGTGCCTGGTCAGCTTATCATTATTATTCAGATAACAAAATACAACTTAAGTGGAAAAAATCTCAGCAATTTTCATTAACCACTAACCAACCTTCTCTTTGTTTTCCTATGATTCTATCATGCTATTTCCTTATTTCAGCTTGCCACCTTGGTCCATTTTTGGAGCAACACCTGGATCCCACCGTTGCTACAGAGCTTTTTTCCTTCGCTTCCCTCT